CTTCCACTTTTCCTTTCTTTTCCCCTCTAACCAAACAAGAAAAATGGTTTTCCACTTCATTTTCTTTTCTTTTCCCTTTCAAATTCCTTGAACCAAACATAATGTTAATGAGAAGCAAAGGAAGAAATAATGTTTTGCCAAAGAAAAACCTTCTTACTGATTCAATCATGTTTTGTTTCTCTCCTGAAGGGTCACTGGAGATTTCCAGGAGGAAAGGAAATGCAAGGATATGCCTACATTCTCACACACCCCGGGACCCCCTCAGTTTTCTATGATCACATCTTCTCAGGGTATCAATCTGAAATAGGATCTCTCATCTCCCTTAGAAAGCGGAACAAGATCAATTGTCGGAGTACGGTAAGTGGCGATATGCTATTATTTTAGCACCACTTTTATTTAGAATCTTCCAACTTTGTAAATAAAATAGCATCACAATTTACTTTTGGAAGGTTAAGATCACTCTCCTCTACCAATATATATTATACCCACACCACTATTACCCTTTCCCAGGGTAACAATATTTTCTACGGTCCACTTTTCTTGCATACGGAGTATACATCAAGTAACGAATGGAGGAAAACATAATATTGACTCCCAATCTATGCATCTTTGCTGTGCAATTCAGGTCAAAATAACCAAGGCAGAAAGGGATGTTTATGGAGCAGTGGTTGATGAAAAGTTGGCGATGAAAATTGGACCAGGCTATTACGAACCCCCTAGTGGACCCCAGAACTGGTCTGTGGCTCTTGAGGGCAAAGATTACAAGATTTGGGAAGCATCATAAGAGAAATTGCAGAAGTGTCTTATGTTTGAGCCTTCTAATAACAAAGGTATTCAAGTGTATCTCCGCAACAAGGCAAACCAGTTCGCCAAGTAGATGAGGACAAGAAACAGAGTTGAGTACATGTGAAATGCCTAGTGTAGCCGGGCACCCCTTTATATGTTTGTACTACTCATTGTTAATTATCTGAATATACCAATTGTTCATGGTATCATTGCCTTTCTCCTAATCTCGAAAAAAAACCTGAACCATAGTCTCTGCGGCGGCTCTCTCTCTCTCTCTCTCTCTTGCGTCTTCAGCAGCACCGCTCACCAGCACCAGCCTCCACGCTCAGCTGCGGATCTCCAGTCTTCCTCCCTTTCCTGGAGGGCTATAGGGAAGTTGTTTATAGCAGGAGAAATGGTTGGTTACAGGTTAGACTTCTGTGCTTTTATTCGTGAGATGTGTTAGTCTTTCATATTTATGTATAGACAAACTATATTGCCATTGCAAACATAATGTATCATCAATAAATGTATCTAATAATTAATACCTTCCAATTGTTTGAAATTACTCTTTACAGATATTTTTATTCCCTTGTGTAAAATTGACTAAGGGTCTATTTGGTACACAGAATTGACGGAATTGGAATAGAATTAGAAATTGAAATTCTATGGAATTGATTTGGATGAAATTGAATTCTTATTCTAATTCATTTTTGGCACTACTAATTCCAAATCCACATATTTTTGTGCTACCAAACAGCAGAATTGGAATTGCTGTCCTCAATTCCAATTCGATAGTTTGAATTTCGTGTACCAAACAGAGCCTAATTGAACTTTGCCGGACGGTGGTCGACAGTGGTGGTCCATATTGATCAAGATGATGTAATAGCTCCCTCTCGGATCGATCTGGACACTTGGAAGTACTTAAAGTCTTAGGGTCCGGCGAGTACCATTAACGAGAAATTTTTAGGACTTCTCAAACCAAAAACAAGGATAAACCATTCACATCACCACCTTACTTGAACATAGCAGAACTGTAAATATCTTGACTCCCAGACCCTAAGGAAACTGGAATTACACTGACTTTGTTGTTGTATATACTAAAAAATCTAAATATATGTAAACAAAAAATTTGACCATGTTTAATTTTCCTCCTCAATTTTCAAGGCAAAACCAAGCAAAAAAAAAAAAAAAAAAACTTTGCCACTTCTTTGTCCACATATTCTGCACTGCTGATTCTTTGTCACCCTCATAGGTACAATTAGTTTAGATTTTGGGCTGATTGGATGCCCCACTTCCCCATGTTGGCTTCTTTGAGGACATGTCCTACGGTTGTGCCCTTCTCTGAAACACAATCTGCAAACATTAGTGGAATTTGCTGCTTCTGTGCTCTGGGAGCATGTCCTGTTATGACCTTTTTGTCCACATAGTCTGCACTGCTGATTCTTCGTTGCCATTCTCATAGGTAAAATTAGTTCAGAATTCGGGGGTGTTGTTTCACTATGCCCCACTTCCCCATGTTTGCTTCTTATTTGAGGACTGTGTCCTACGGTTGTGCCCTTCTCTTAAGCACAACCCACAAACGTCAGTGGAATTTGCTGCTTCCTTGTTCTGGGCACATGTCCTTCTGTTATGACCTTGTTGTCCGCACATTCTGCAATGGAGATTCTTTGTTGATCTCCTCCAACTTGAATTAGCCTAGTTCATTGACCATTTTCTGAGTAGCCTTAAAAGTCAGGTAAAAACAATCACTAAGATGCTTTGATCATAACATAGAAGATGTAAAAGAGGCACAGACCTTTGATGGAACGACTTCTTTTGCGCCGGTTTTCCGAATACTTTTTCATTAATTCTGAGGCGCGTTTCCTAGCAGTAGCTGACCCTCCAGCAACCTGCAAAACAACAGCCCTTTTGAAGTTCAAATCAACTCTCAGGGCTTAGGGTTTATTAGATTTGAGCAATCCATTGGAAGTAGTGTCACAAACATGTTTTCAAAACCAATTAAATACAACAACCCGCCAACCCGGGTAAGATCACATGAGGGTCAAGAAGCAGTCTTAACCCTGTGAAAACTAGATGACAATGGACAGTTCAAAAAGAATGAAATAATCACAATTGAAGAGATTAATAATTTTAATAATTTCAGGAATTCTGTGTGTGTGTGTGTGTTTTGTTTTGTTTTCAGAAAACAATACTAAAAAACACTGCTGCCAAACATATTTTCTTGTTTCATATACCAACTTGTATTCCAAAGTTAAACCTTAAAAGCCCAATTAAGCTGCAAGTCTTAATAAAGGGCTATTTTACTACTCCCTCCATCCCATTAATGCTTTTCTTTGACTTTGCACGGACTTTAAGAAAATTGAAATTGTATCGTTGAATGTGATGCAGTGAAAAAAGAAATTTGTGAGCCCCAAAAAAACTTTCTAAAAATGGAAAGAGAAAGATTAATTTAGGACAACCCAAAAAAAAATAAATAAAAATTACTGTAATTTGGAATAGAGGAAATACTTTGCAACTACAACAACAACAAAAAAAGTATCGTACAAAATAAGATCGATGTGTACGTGGATCTTATCCTTATTCAAAAGTAGAAAGACCGTTTCCAAAAGATTTTTGATTGATTTCGCGCCAAAGGGAAATCAACTCAAACACAATGACTTTGCCACTAGCTAATAAATGGTGTATAATAGAATTTGCCTATGAGGTGATGGTGATACATGGTAAAAGATAATTCAACAGGGGCGACCTGAGAACACATATACATTATGATGCATTAGTTTTAACTTAAAGGCCACAAGCAGCACACCCATGTATTCTCATGCCGACCCTATTGAACATTTTCACCTCAACTATAAATCTCCCCCTCAAACAAGCTAAGATATATACTTTCTGTAATTACTACTGAGTTCTTTATATATATATATACACACACACACACACACACACACACACACACACACATACATATATATATATATATATATATATATATATATATATATATATATATATATATAATTTGAGTAGAAATTACTATGAATTTAGACACCCCATACTTGGTGTGTATTTGAGTAGTATTTATATGTATATGGAGGAAAGCAATGGTTCTCTAACAATCTGTACTACAACTTTAGTACATATGATAGTACTTGTACAACTAGAAATACTGTCTTTCAAGAGTTTCTATTTTATATATACCTGGTGTTTATTATCATTTTACATTTTTTTAAATTTTCATATACTTAGAGCATGCGCATTATGAAATTGATGCATTTACATTTCATTTTTACACAACAGTTATTTTCGTTGTTTAAATATTCTTTTTTTTTCCTATTTTCTTCCTAATAACACTATCAATCCATAAAAGTTATATATAGAATATAAATAATGCACATTTGATTTTTATACATACTCAAAGCGTGCATCGTGGGTCACCTAGAAAAATTCGCTCTATGTTTTAAATATAGGGGTCAGGTTGCATACATTTGACCCACCCTTACCCCGCGATGGGCGAGAGCCTTTGAGGCACTCGGATAATGATGATGATGATGATGATGATGATGATGTTGTTGTTGTATCCTTTGAGCGAGCATATTATAAAATTAGTACATTCACGAGTGACATAATACGGAGTACTCATTAGATGCAAATGAAGGTACATCCAGATGTACAATATAATTTGCAACTATGTTGTTTGTTTTCTTCTTTTTGCGGGTCGGTCGGGCCCCAATTAGTCTTATTGATTTCTATTTAAACATTCACTGGTTTTTATTTTTTCTCTACCCTCTATATAAATTTCAACCATACAACATTTATATTATAAAAAGTGGACAAAACAAATTAGGACGGAAACACTAAAGGATTAATACACTATGTACAATATGTGTTCTAATAAGGGAGTACAATATTGTACATTTGTACTACTTGTACTAGCAATTGACTGAACCCTCTTAGACAAATCTAAAAAATCAACTACTGGGCTTAGAATATGAATTGGTATATCATACCTGGTCCAACATCAAGCCCACGATCCAAAACACCAATGTTTTGAGAGCTGTCAAGACACATGCCAACTTGAGCCCAATGCCATTTTCCATAAAGAGCAATTCCCACTTTTAGCCCCACAAATGTTAGGACTAACATTTTTTTTCCATTTTTTGATGCAAGACTTTTAGACTTCTTGTCACTTTTGGTACATGCAATCATTGACAATCAGGCACGCACAGACAGTCACTGTCTTTGAAAAATTATTGTCCACTTGTAGAGTATTAACCTTGGTGTCGTCCGTGGTGTGACTCGTGATGTCACTGTAGCCATGACCCATGTCTGGTTTCTGGTTGGTTTGATAGGCAAGTTCAACATGAATGTATAGAATCTGATGAATGGGCTGATTCTTTCTTCTACGGCACGCCTATGGAACTATAGCCAGCCAGTTTCTTTAGACCATTTTCATCCATAATCTGTCTGATCCTCTCAGCTTCATTCCACTTTCCAAGAGCAGCGTATAGTTTAGACAAGATCACCAGTGGTATAGGACTCCTTGGCTCCAGCTCTAAGAGTTTCTGAACCATTTCTTGTGCAATGTCAGGATGAGAATGACACTCAGAAGCCCCAAGAACTGAAGCAAAAACTGAGGCAGAAGGCGTGGGCAGTTTCTTGAGCAGTTCTCTCGCGTCGTCCAGCTGTCCAGACCGAGCAAGAAGATCAACTAGAATGTTAAGTTGCTTGGAACCCGGGGTGAACCCGAAATCCACGGTCATCCGTTTAAGGATCTCCCACCCTTTGACTGTTTGACCGGAGTGGCTGCACACGGATAACACACAGTTGAAAGTTGCTAAGCTTGGCTTCACGTTCTCGCGCACCATCCGGTCGAACATCTCAAAAGCGGCTTCGTTTTCGTTGTTTATTCCGTACCCGGAGATCATAACATTCCATAGGGCCGGATCGTCGCACTTGTTTTCAAAAGCCTCAAAAACCCTTTCAGCCAAACAGACTTTTCCACATTTCATGTAGACATCAATCACAGCGGTTGCAAGGAAGGGATCGTCAATGCATTTGGTCCTTATGGCGTATCCGTGAATCTGTGTCCCTGAGTGAAGCACACATTGTGCAGAACAAGCAGTTAAAAGACTGGTCATTGATTTCTCATTTGGCTTCACGCCGGATGAAACCATTCTTCTGAAGAAATGAGAAGCTTTCTGATACCCTTCTTCCGGAAGGCGTGAAAACCCAATGATCATTGTGTTCCACGTTGATGAATCAGGTTTCATCCCTTCAGTTTCCAGATGTTCAAAGAGTTCAATTGCTTTCCCGGTTTGATTATTGAGCATTAATCCCGAAATCATGGAGTTCCAGGTGATCAAGCTCCGTTTGATTCTGGGAAATTCTTGAAACACAGAAGATGCACATTGCCAAGAACCACATTTGGAATACATATCAATTAGGGAAGTGGAGACCATAGTATCAACCTTCATCACAGTTTTTTCAGCAGAGCCATGGATTTGCAGGCCAAGCTTCAGATTCTTGAGTTCTGCACAAGCAGAAAGACCGGAAACGAATGTCACAGCATTGGCCCTTTCATCTGACAATCCATTGAAATCCTTAAACACGAGCAAGACAGCCTCATACCAACGGTTCTGCAACAAGCCGGTCATATATGCATTATGACAGACCACATTTTTGTTCTCAATCGACTCAAACAATCTCGTTGCAGAAACCAAATCACCAGAACCGGAATACGTCGTGAGAACTGAAGTTGCAACAAAAACACAAGTCTCAACCCCAATCTTCACAGCCCAGCAATGCATTTGCGCGCCCACAGTAGCATCCTCGCAGCCAGACAGCACCCCGGCTATGGTGACAGAATCCGGGCGGAGATTCCAAGAATCCAGCGACCCAAACGCCCTGAAGGACTCTGAGTGACACCCAATTTGAGAAAACCCGGAAATGAGAGCGTTCATAGAATCTATAGTTGGGTGGGGAATTTCGTCGAACGCCTTGAGCGCGCAATCGACGCTGCCGGCTTTCAGATACAAGGTGGTGAGGGCGGAGGCGGTGAAGAGATCGGACTGGAACCCAGACTTGAGGAGGTGGGTGTGGAGCATCTGGGCTCGTGGAAAGTCTCGGAGCTTGGCGCAGGCTTTGAGCAGAGCAGGGAATGTGAACCCGTTGCGAAGAGAAGAAGAAGAAGAAGAAGAAGAAGAAGAATGGAGGCGAGAGTAGAGTGTGAGGGCTTCTCTGTAAGCTCCATCTCTCACTAGATCCGCTATCTGCCGTCTCATTGGGTTGGATTCAATTCTGTTTTTGCATTTTGTGTTGCTTCAAGAGCATCTTCAAACGGGTGTGCTTTATTTTAGTTTTTGCTATGTATAAAAGCCTTTCAAACTTTAGCAAATCAATGCTTCAAACATAAAAAAACAAATTATGATTGAAAAATGAAAAAAAGCATTTGTTGTATCATTATTTACTTGCTATAATGTAAAAATAACAAATTTATATAAAACATGGTTGGAAATACTGTTACTCATACAAATTTAGTGGTGTAAGGTCTTATCAATGTTTCCACAAATAATTTTCAATAGAATAAACTTAAGTACACCAGAATGGAGAATGGGGCCGGGTAACAATGGGATACCCATTTTCGTGTACCCTTAACTTGAATCATTTCAATATGACTACTGAGTATGAGTGTATTTTTTAGGGGTGGGCACGGGCCGGTCCGAGTCCAAATTTATATAAACCAGACTCGGCTTGTTTTTATTAAAACGGTCCGGGCCGGAACGGGTTTTCAAAATTTTAAAATTGGAACCGGACCTAACCCGGCTTGTTTGAAACGGGCCGATTCCACGGGTCAACAGGTCCGAACCTATCATAATACTAACATTCTTCAAAACAAATAGAAATTATAGAATAATGCCTTCAAAGTTCAAAAAGTGAATATTTCAATAAATAGAAATTTGAATACAACATGAAAAAGTGAATATTTCAATAAGAGATGAGATGAGAAGAGAAACATACCAGTTCGGCAGTACCACAAGAAGGTCGGCTATTCTCGATCTGCTACCCGATTGGAAAGAATCGCCAATTTCTGCCGGAGATTGGAAAGAATTTGCCTGTGATTGGAGAGAACCGGCGAATCGGCGAAGGAGGCGAATAGGTGAAGACTGAGAATCGCGTTCAGAGTTCAGGCTCTCTGTTTTCTCACTTCTGCGGTTCTGCACTGCGATTGGAATATGGAAGGACCGAAAGAGTTACTAAAATTAATTGGAATAGGCGGGTATACCGTATATTTACTAAAAAATATTAAAAATAATATTAGTATTTAAAAAACGGTCTGGTCCGGGTCCCAAACAATTTCAAAATGGGGAACCGGACCGACCCTAAAATCTATAGGAACCGGACCGACCCGGACCGTTTTAAATTTTTGAAAAGACGACCCGGACCTAACTCGGCCAGAACCTGGCGGTTCAGTTCCGACCCGCGGTTCCTGGACCCGAATGCCCACCTCTAGTATTTTTGGTCAAAATGCAAATTAGTACTTGTACAAATTACTACCAGGTTGATATCATTTTTTTGTAATTATAAATTTATTTATAAGTTAATTTTTTTTGTGTGAATTCCATAATTAGTCTCTTATAACATATGTGTTTTCATACCTAGTCCTTTATTATCAAATATTACTCTCGTAGTTCTTCTTTTATGGATGCATTTCCACAATAGCTCTTTTTTAATCTTTTGTTGTGTTGGTGTTAATTTAAAAGTTAAAAGTATAATTTGACATTAACTTTATATTCAGTGACGTATTCTGATATTGGTTAGATGAATAGAACAAAAATAATGGCTATGAGTATGAGTTAAAATTCCGACGAAAGACTACATCTGTGGACTATAATTGTAGTATAAAACTACTGTAATTCATAAACGATGCATTAGGAGTGGCCTTTGTTGTGTATGACAAGAAAGATATATTATTGCAAAATTATACTTTTAGCCTTCAAATTAACACCACCATGATAGAAGATAAAAAAGAGATTATTTATTGAAAGATACTCATAGAAGATGGGTCACCGTGGTAATATTTGATTAAAAAGCTAAATAGGGAAACTCCTCTATTAGAAAAGACCAATAATGGAATTACTCGATTTTTTGTCAAACAATAACATCGTTTGACTACAAATTCAACATAATCTAAATAAATAAATGATATAAAAATTTGATACTCCGTATATAAAAACTATATTCTAAGATGAACCGAATTACACTAAATTTATATTAAAACTATATATACTTTTCTCACAATTTATAGTCAAAGTTTGTCACTATTTGACATAAAAAGTTCAAATAGAAAAAATTTCAGGACCGGAAAGAGTAGTAGGTAAAATAAATTTATTTTCCTTCCATCCTAAAATATCCAAACAAGAGGAAGGAAAATAAGTCTATTTTATTCTTCTGAATTTTCCACCTTTATTTTCTTTCCTTCCTATAAAATCATCCAAAGAGAGGGTAAATATAAAAAACCACGGGGCATATTTGGTTGAAAGGAAAAAATTTTTTTTAAAAAAAAAAACTAATTCTATTTTCCTACGCTTGGTCTTAGAAAAATGATTTTTATTTTTTGGATGAATGTTCATTTTCTTTGTAAGTGCTCGAATCTTTTAATTCTACAAACAAGCAAAAAACTTCCCAAACTCTGTCGCCATTCACTCCCGGAACCTTATAGAATGGAGCGCTATAGTCTATAATAGAGACATGATCCCGATCGTGTGTAAAAAATAAAATGTGGTTTAAAATATTTTGAAAGTTTCAAAAATCATGCACATTTCTACAATATAATGAAATTTTTACTTTGGAAAATTTTCATCCCGACAAATATAACAATGAGAAATGCAGAGTATGAGAGAAAATTGATGTAGTATAAATAAATATGCAATTGACATCACTATATTATTTTACTAAAAAAATATCCGAACACCAAATCTCATTTTAGAGAAATGAATAAAAGGAAAGGGAGAAAATAATTGAGATTTTTTTTTCTTCAATTTTTTAAGAGGCAACATTTCTTTTTTTCTCTCTTGCCATGTCATATATTACTTGTCAAAATTATTCTTCTTTTATGCATAAACTATCAGCATATACATACACATAAACCACAATTTATTGTGCTAAATCATCTCACACTAATCACCAAACCAACACACACCCAATAAAAGTATCTAAGCTCACGTGGTACCTACGCCACGTCACCTGACACGTGGCGGAGCCTGATAGGAAGGCGTGGAATTCCGCCTTCTGACGTGGTGGGGGGTGGTTTGGCGCTCATGTTGGAAGAGTCTAGAAGACCCTCTTGGGGCTTCGAGTTCTTCGAGCTCCGCCACAACCTCGGACATGCGCGGCCTAACCTTGTGATCTGGGGTCAGGCAGCGCTGCGCGAGGTTCGCGGCCTTCAGTGCCCCCTTCTGAGGGTACTGTCCCTCCAACTTAGTGTCCATAATGCGAAACAGCTTCCTCTTGTCCCCCAAATACGGTTTCACCCAGTCCACAAGATGCTGCTCCACGCCGTGTTTGGAGTGGTCAACGGCACGACGACCGGTCAACAATTCGAGCATCACGACTCCGAAGCTATATACGTCGCTTTTTGCTGTCAACCGGCCTGTTTTTTTAGCAACGGGTACATTAGTTGAACATTGTTGTTAGAGTATAAAATCAATCACGAGTATTCAACCACAAGTATGGGCTTTTGGTTGAGTCGATTTCCATGTGGTGATTTCAATTGAAATATCTACGGTGCTCCGTTCGTAAAATTGATAGTTCCAACCCCCTAGCCCCTACCCCGGCTTGGCCCGAACCCACCCCAACCCCTTCAATTTCATCCCAAAAATTTAGTTGACTTTGAGGTAATAAAAAATTGACGAAGAGTCTGTTCTTTAGAAGTGGAAAAAAGAGCTTGATGTTGGAAGGAACTGAAATAAACTAGAAGAAACTGGAAAAAACTGAAAGAAACTGAAAAAACTAGAAGAAACTGGAAGAAACTAGAAAAACTTCAAAAAAATTGGAAAAGCTAAAAAAACTTTTTAAAAAAATATTTTAAATTCTTGTTGTTATAAATTATTATTATTATTATTATTTTAAACTTGAAGAAACTAGAAGAAACTGGAAGTTAAGAGTTCAAGCTCTAAAGAACAGGCTCGAAGTGCGAGAGTGATATACGCAAAATCGAACCTGTAGCGACATATTCAGGTGCAGCATAGCCCTGCGTACCCATCACCCGGGTAGACACGTGAGTGCGGTCACCAGTGGGGCCAGCCTTGGCCAATCCAAAATCAGACAGCTTGGCATTGAACTCCTGCAACAAGAGCAGTAAGGTTCTGTTTGGTACCCAGAAAATGCTAAGGAATATCAAATAAAACAAAACATACGGTACCGTGTCTAAGAGGATATTAGAAGCCTTAAAATCACGATATATAACGGGCTCCTTGGCATCATGCAGGAAAGCAAGGCCTCTAGCAGCACCAATGGCTACCTTCATTCTTGTGCCCCAACTCAAGGGATGTGACCCTCCTATGAACCAACCCCAAACATAAGACTACAATCAACTAGCTAATCTAGTAGTTATCCTTATAAAATATGAACAAATTCATGTGTATAAAACATTGGGTTAAGTTAGTAAATCGACTACATCCATTTTTTTATAGTATGGTTTGACTCAAAATGAATTGTTTTGATAATGTACTAAAGAAAAAAGAAAGGATCGCAAAGGTGGTAACGTACTTCTGAAAAGATGATTCTCCAAGCTGCCTTTTGGCATAAACTCATAAACCAAAAGCCGATTGTCACCATCTGTGCAGTATCCAATAAGTTTAACCAGGTTCGGATGATGAAGTTGTCCAAGGTAATTAACTTCAGTCTAGGAGTTACCCATTGTTAATTAAGATGAGAACACAACATTAATAAGGCTCCGTTTGTTTCTAGGAAATTAAAGTTTTCTCATGTTGACGCCAAATGAGGAAAAACCGTGTGGAAAATGATTCCTCCTTGGAAAATGAAGTCATTTTTTTCTTGGAACAACTTAATTCTTTCTTACTATGTTTGTTAAATAATCCAAACACACAAAAAACCACAGCAATACATTTTAATTTCATGTAAAAACAAACGGAGCCAAAGAATGACTAAACTCAATTGCAGGACATACACATAATAAGAAAGAATCGGTGAAATATATGTACCAGCCACTCTTTATGGCCTTGAAAGCCTTCAGGTTTCAGCTTCTTAACAGCTATGACAATCCCTGAACCAGGTCTTGTAGGGGTGAGAGAATGCTCATCGATCCATCCTTTGAAGACATACCCAAATCCTCCTTC